TCCCAAAGCAGGGGACCAAAGCATTGAGGGTACGGCTCGACAGGGCTGGACCGGAGCCTCCATCCCAAGGTGGGGAAACTGAGGCACCGCCAACCAGGGCTGTACCCTCAAACCCAGCAGCTGAATTCCAGATGGGGCTGCAGGAAGATCCCTCCTTAGAGAAGCTGAGGGCCCTTGCTGGCCACAGTGGTGAAGAATCCAGGGGGAGGAATGCCAGGAGAGATTCCTGTGGGAGAAGGGATTCCTGTACTGGGAATGGGCTGCGTTCGGGGCAAACTGAACCTTGGGAGGCCAGGAGGCAGTTGGTCCCCCAGAGGTACCGCCGCAGACTGTTGTACTTGGCCCACGATATCCCCCTTTCAGGGCATCCGGCGCACCAGGCAGAGGCTGCTGCAGAACCTTTACTGGCCCGGGGTCTTTGACGCAATCCAACAGTATTGCAGGTCCTGTGCCTCCTGCCAGAGCGGGGGAAGGCCTGGGATAAGTGTAAGCAGCTTTGAGACCTTTGCCCATCATAGAGGAGCCTTTCCAGAAGGGGGCTGTGGACATAGTGGGGCCCCTCAGCAGGGCGACCCAGTCAGGGAAGAAATACATCCTGGTGGTGGTAGATTTCGCTACGCGCTACCGTGAGGCAGTGGCCTTGTCCTCTATCGAGGCAGACACCGTGGCAGACGCGCTACTGACCATTTTCAGCAGGGTGGGGTTCCCCAAGGAGGTCCTTACAGACCAGGTGTCCAACTTCACGTCAACCCTGCTCCAGTGCTTGTGGAAGAAGTGTGGGGTCCAACATACCTAGGTCTCGGCGTGTCACCCTCAGTCCAATGGGTGGTGGAAAGGTTCAACTGGACCCTAAAGATGATGCTGAAAACCTTTATGGACCAGCACTCGCAGGACTGGGACAAGTATTTACCCCACCTGCTGTTTGCATACAGGGAAGTGCCCCAGGAATCCATAGGGTTTTCCCCATTCGAGTTGCTGTATGGGAGGAGAGTGAGGGGACCCCTGGACTTGATGAGAGACGAGTGGGAGGGGAAGGCCTTTCCCGATGGAGAATCAGTGGTGGCATATCTCCTGACCTTCCGGGAAAGGCTCGCTGAGCTCATGGCCAGGGGAAACCTAGCCAGGGCACAGAGGAAGCAGAAGGTCTGGTACGACTGCTCAGCACGTGCTGCTCCTATGCTACCGGGGACTAGGTGATGCTTCTTGTAGTAAGATGAGGCCTTGACACATAAATCCTCGTATAAGAGGCCTAGTGTGAGGCCTGAGGCCTGAACTATAGTAATGGTGAAGACTTTGCTAACATAAAGCAAAGTTAAGCTGTGAGCCAGAGGCAGGCCCTGCTCACACAAGTTGGAAGCTGCTAATTGCACGTACACACATATCTAAAAGGTATCGAGTCCTAATAGGATGAACATGTGCCAGGATGGCACCAGAACATTCTGGTATGAACACATTCCACAGAGATAATGAGGAACAGGCTGACCCATCCTAAAGACAGGGTCAAAAGGACAATATGATGGATAGAGTTGTTTGTTCGAACCAACATGTACCAGGAGGGAGACAGCACCCTAACGCGTAGAGGGGCTGTACCTCGATGTGTCAGGAGTGATGGGTAACTTGTTTGTACCTGTGTATGAGATGCACCCCTGAGGGCTGTCTTTGTCCAGCCCAGGGGGCAGTGGAGAGTCCCACCACTGACTGAGCCGGTCCATTGTCCGGGAGCACATATGTACTAGCAGAACCACAGACGTCTGATCCTGGGAGCTAGAGACTGTGTTTCATTTGGCAATAAACCTGGCCGGTGTCTTTGTACCTTATTGGAGTCTGTGGTCATTGGGGGTTCTCTCGGGGTCTGCTGTGTCAGCGATCTGCGCAGAGCCAGGGCATCACACGGAGGAAACACACACACGCAGCTGACTGTTATCAACATTGAACAGAGCAGAGCACCACACCGGTGACATCTGACAACACTTTTCATCCCCATGAGGAAGAACGAGCTGCAATCTGTCTGGGACGGCCCCTTCAAGGTCATCAGACAGGTAAACAAGGTGAACTATGTAGTGGAACTGTCCAGTCAGGCACACAACCACCAGGTGTCCCATGTCAACATTACGAAGCCATACTGGGACAGGGAGAAGTTGGTGCTGGCTGTGCGTGGGCAGTGGGAGGAGAAAGGAGAGGATCCCTAGTGGGACTCCTCCCTCAGGCGGGGGCTGACCCCTCCTGGAATCAGTTCCCCTCTCAGATCAGCTAGCCCCTGTCCAGCAGGCATAGGTCAGAGAGATGCTGCATTCATACCAGCAGCTGTTCTCCAACCGGCCTGGGCTCACTAATTGAGCTGTCCACTGGGTGGAGACGGGAGCCAACCCTCCCATCGGGTGTTCCCCATTCAGGGTCACTGGGAAAGCAGCCCAGGACCTCGAGAGAGAGGTTGGAGACATGCTGGCTTTAGGGGTGGTACAGCCATCCTCCAGCCCCTGGGCCTCGCCCACGGTGCTGGTCCCCAAGAAGGGCCCACACCATTGCCAGGCATTCCTTCTTTATGGCAACATCTCTCTGATCTCTGCTTCTTGGGCAGGGATTAGTTGGTCTGAGATGGGAATATATTCCAGCGAGAGAGGAGTCCCACCAGGTCTTCAAGGGTGACCCAGCCGTCCTCCAGCCCCTGGACCTCTCTCATGGTGCTGGTCCCCAAGAAGGACAGGTCGATCTGGTTCTGTGTGGACTATTGGAAGCTCAATGCCATCACCAAGTCTGATACCTACCCCATGCCTGGGACTGATGAGATCCTACACAAGTTGGGGGGCGCCTGGTACCTCACTACCATGGATCTCACCAAGGGCTACTGGCAGGTACCTTTGGACCCAGAGGCCAAGGTGAAGTTTGCCTTCACCACCCCAATAGGGTTCTTCGAGTTCCTGGTCCTGCCTTTTGGCCTTAAGGGGACACCTGCCACCTTCCAGCGCCTGGTGGACCAATTACTAAGGGGGATGGAGGACTTTGCTCTAGCGTATATTGACGATATCTATGTCTTTAGCCAGACCTGGGAGGACCATGTGTCCCAAGTGAAGAGGGTGCTGGGTTGCCTCCAGGATGCAGGACTGACTATAAAAGCTGGAACGTGCAAGGTGGCGATGGCAGAGGTGACATACCTGGGCCACAAGGTGGGGAGAGGCCACCTGAAGCCAGAGCCAGCCAAAGTGAAGGCAATCAAAGACTAGCCCGCTCACCAGACTAAGAAGCAGGTCCAGACTTTCATTGGGATGGCAGGGTACTGCCGGAGGTTTGTGCCCCACTTTAGCTCCCTGGCAGCTCCCCTCACAGAGCTTTGTAGGAAGGGAAAGCCAGACAAGATGGTCTGGACCAAGCAGTGCCAGAGGGCTCTCTGAGCGCTGAAGGGGGCACTTATCCAAAGCCCGGTGCTGGTAAACCCGGATTTTAACAAACCCTTCCTGGTGTTCACCAACGCCTCAGACACCGGGCTGGGTGCGGTGCTGATGCAAACTCATACTAAGGGGGAGAGACACCCCATTGTGTACCTGAGCAAGAAGCTGCTGCCCCGGGAGTAGCACTATGCAGCCATAGAGAAGGAACGCCTGGCCATGGTGTGGGCCCTTAAAAAGCTGAAGCTGTATCTATTTGGGTGGCACTTTACTGTGTACACTGACCATTCACCCCTGATGTGGCTGCACCAAATGAAAGGGGCTAATGCCAAGCTGCTGAGATAGGGCCTGCTCCTCCAGGGTTATGACATGAAGGTAGTGTGTGTGGGGGAGTGCCAATGTTATAGCCCATGCTTTATCATGGGGCCCTGAACTTCCCCAGGTCACTGGCTAAGTGACCCCGCTCAGTTCAGACTTGAAGGGGCAGAGATGTGACAAAGTGGGAGGATTTCTTGGTTTTTTCAATGGTTTGCATGCAGAGGGGGTGGAATGCAGTTTCCCTGGAGAATGAATACCCCAGCGACTGGTGACCGGGAGGCCCAGCTCAGGGAGTCACAGCCAGTTCTGGCCAGTGGGACAATGGCCTGCAGAGAGAGGACCCTGGTGACCTGACAAGCTGGTTCCAGCCATTGGGGTACAAAGGACAGAAGAGAGGAGAGGAGGCCCAGCTGACCCTGTTTACCTGGATAGAAGACAATGGACAGAGGTGGGACGTGGGGCTGGTGATATCAGATGCCCAGCTGGAAAGCGCAGGGTCTCAGGACTGGAGAGGGAAAGCAGGCAGAGCCCACCTGGATGCAGGGGAGACTTAGATGAGCTGTGCTGAGGGAGGCCAGGCCTGAGGCCCTGAGAGTTTCCTATGCTAGGTTCAGATGCTCAATAAACCCTCCTGTTTTATGCTGGCTGATAGTTGCTCCGGTCTAGAGAACAGGGGGCATTATTCCCTCTTGGAGTGGAGGCCCTGGGGGTCCAGAGTGAGTGGACTCCTTGCAGGGGCCCACAGCGAGAGACAGGTGTGCTAAGGCTCAAAGAGGTGCGGTTCCAAGAGGCAGAGGGGCTTAACCTCCAAGAGAGAGTGGACCCCCAAAAAGGGCTGTCTCAGTGAAGGGGGTTCCCCCCCATCGACCATACGGGGCCAAGAGTGGGCACGCCTGGGAGTCGTGACACCAGCTGGACGGGTTGGATAGGGGGGCAGGGAGGGGATGGGAACTGGGCTGGATGCGTCAGTTCTGGGGGGCAGGAAGGCGGTGGGTTTCTGACTGGATGGGTTGGTTCTGGGGGTCAGGGAGCTGGTGGGTTCCCAGCTGGGTGGGTCAGTTCTGGGGGTGCAGGGAGGCAGTGGAGTCCTGGCTGGAGGGGTCAGCTCTGGGGGGCAGGGAGCGTTTGGGTAACGGGCTGGGTGGGTCGGCTTTGGAGGGCAGGGTGGGTGTGGGTACCATGCTGTACGGGTTGTCTCTGGGAGGGCAGGAAGGGGGCAGGTGTTAGAGGGCTTATCCCTTCACCCTCCCATTCCCTGGTCCTTCTCTCATGAACAGAGAGCAACAATACCCGAAGTCCGAAGGTGCAAACAATTCAATGTTTATTGGGGTGAACTTCCAGCAAGCAATTATTCCAATTTCTTTCCTCAGTGTCCCCCTTCCCAGCTCTGATGCCTGTGTCCCTGTTCCCATCCCCCCACTTAGCAAAACATGATTCCAATTCCCCACCTTACTTCCTGATTGACTGCAGACCATATAGTAAAACTTGAGTTCTGGTTAGCTATACCTTAACCAATCATTTTACTGAAATTTAACTAAACCAATCCTAACATATTGTAACATGATTATTTAACCAATTATATCCCACCACCTTAATTAGTTTACACCCAGCAAAATTAATTATACAGCAGACAGAAATGATCACAGAACCAGACAGAGATTATACAGACAAACAATAGGAAAATGGGGACTACAGTGACAGAACAAACACAGAAGTGAGGATTTCACACCCCAGCTATTGAGAAATGAGTTTTTGCCAGACAGGATGCTATCAAACTACATTTTCTTTAAATCTTCTAGGCTCTTCCCTTTCTCTGGAGATGATAGATTAGATCATCTTTTTAACAGCCCGAAACTGCCTTATTTCAGTGTGACTGGTGAGGACGTGACCCTTCGCTTCCCAGCTTATGGCTGCCCCTGCTGTTTAGCCAAAGGCCTTAGCCTAAGAACAAAGTCTTAAACTATCACAGTGATGATTCTTGTTTTGTACCTCTATAACTAGTTAAGTGATAAGAATATACCTAAATTCTTAAAGTATAGGCCTTTGCAGACAGGCCTGAATATTTGTATCCTAACAGCAGGTACTGGGCTGGATGGGTCGACTCTAGGGGGCAGGGAGGGGCGGATTCTCAGTGGTGAACAGGTTAAGGACTATTTAGAAAAGCTGGACATGCACAAGTCTAGGGGTCCAGGTCAAATGCATCCAAGCCTGCTGAGGGAGTTGACTCATGTGATTGCAGAGCCATTGGCCATTATCTCTGAAAATTCATGGTGATCGGGGGAGGTCCTGGATGATTGGAAAAAGGTGTATATATAGTGCCATTTTAAAAAAGGGAGGAAAGAGAACCCCGGGAACTAAAGCCTCACTTCAGTCCCCGGCAAAATCATGGAGCAGGACCTCAAGGAATCCATTTTGAAGCACTTGGAGGAGAGGAAGGTGATCAGGAACAGTCAACATGGATTCACCAAGGGCAAGTCGTGCCTGACCAACCTGATTGCCTTCTATGATGAGATAACTGGCTCTGTGGATATGGGGAAAGCAGTGGATGTGATATATCTTGACTTTAGCAAAGCTTTTGATACGGTCTCCCACAGTATTCTTGCCAGCAAGTAAAAGAAGTATGGATTGGATGAATGGACTATAAGGTGGATAGAAAGCTGGCTAGATCGTTGGGCTCAACGGGTAGTGATCAACGGCTCCATGTCTAGTTGGCAGCCGGTATCAAGCAGAGTGCCCCAGAGATTGGTCCTGGGACTGGTTTTGTTCAACATCGTTATCAATTATCTGGATGATGGGATTAATTGCACCCTCAGCAAGTTCACAGATAACACTAAGCTGGGGGGAGAGGTAGATATGCTGGAGGGTAGGGATAGGGTCCAGAGTGATCTAGACAAATTGGAGGATTGGGCCAAAAGAAATCTGATGGGGTTCAACAAGGACAAGTGCAGAGTCTTGCATTTAGGAAGGAAGAATCCCATGCACTGCTACAGGCTGGGGACCGACTGATTAAGCAGCAGTTCTGCAGAAAAGGACCTGGGGATTAAGTGGAGGAGAAGCTGGATATGAGTCAGCAGTGTGTCCTCGTTGCCAAGAAGGGCAACAGCATATTGGGCTGTATTAGTAGGAGCGTTGCCAGCAGATCAAGGAAAGTGATTATTCCCCTCTATTCGGCACTGGTGAGGCCACACCTGGAGTATTGCATCCAGTTTTGGTCCCCACACTGCAGGAGGATGTGGACAAATTGGAGAGAGTCCAGTGGAGGCACATGACTAACCAGGAGAGGCTGAGGGAACTGGAGTTATTTAGTCTGCAGAAGAGAAGAGTGAGGGGGGATTTGAGAGCAGCCTTCAACTACCTGAAGCGGGGGGTTCCAAAGAGGATGGAGCTCGGCTGTTCTCCGTGGTGGCAGGTGACAACAAGGAGCAATGGTCTCAAGTTGCAGTGGGGGAGGTCTAGGTTGGATATTAGGAAACACTATTTCACTAGGAGGGTGGTGAAGCACTGGAATGCGTTACCTAGAGAGGTGGTGGAATCTCCATCCTTAGAGGTTTTTAAGGCCTGGCTTGACAAAGCCCTGGCTGGGATGATTTAGTTGGGGATTGATCCTGCATTGAGCAGGGGATTGGACTAGATGACCTCCTGAGGTCTCTTCCAACCCTAATATTCTATGATTTTATGATTCCAGGTTGGATGGGTCAGGTCCAGGGGGTGGTTTCCTGGCTGGATATGTTGGCTCCAGGGGGCGGGGAGGGGGTGGGTACCGGGTTTGATGGGTCAACTCTGGGGGGCAGGTACCGGGTTGGATGGGTCAGCTCGAGGGGGCGGGTACTAGTCTGGATGGATCGGCTCTGGGGGGCAGGAACGGGATGCGTATTGGGCTGGATTGGTCGGCTCTGTGAGGCCAGGGAGTGGCGGGTACCAGCTGGATGGAGCAGGGAGGGAGGCGGGTACCGGGTTCGATAGGTCAACTCTGGGGGGCAGGGAGAGGGCAAGTACTGGGCTGAATGGGTCGGCTCTGGGGGGGCAGGAAGGGGCAGGTTCCAGGCTGGATGGGTTGGCTCTGTGGGGTGGGTGGTACCAGGCTGGATGGGTTAGATCTGTGGGGCAGGGAGGGGGCAGGTGGTGGTCAGATCTAGGGGGCCCGTCAGGCTGGTTCCCCAATAAAAGTCTCACGGCATCTTTCCATATGTTTTATTAAATATAAATTATTTCGGTGCTGCGCAATTGCAACAGGAGATTGACAGGTCAGTGGCGGGGCGGGGTTCACTCTGAGAACTCCCATCCCCCCTGGCGGGGACCCCAGTGCCTGGGCATGGCCGGGAAACGGGGTGTTTTTAATGGCAGGAAAAACCCAGGCCCCACCTGAATCGATTTGGCCCAGGCAGAGGCTGTCTATAACATCAACATTTCACCCCTGTGACCTGGCAATGGGGAATTAGAGCTGGTGCCCCTTGGAGGTGAGAGGTCCTGTGCCCCATTCCCTCCCCGCCAAGCCAGCCAGGCAGCTACCCTGGGACATGCCTGAGGTTGCATGCTCTGAGAGGGGGAAGCTGCCCTTAGCATCCCCATGGGCTCTTAGTTCCCAGCCCCACAGCTCTGTGGGGCCCTTACCAGCCCCACCCCAGCAGAGGGTGGGTATGGGGTAATGTTCCCTCTAATTTTTGACAGGCTTAGTGCGCAAAAAATTTCTTCTGTGCAAATTTTTGTGCTTCTGGGCAAATTTTTGTGAGCGCAGTGTTTCGCTGTGTGCGTGGGGTTTCAGATCTGTGCGTGCGTGCACACGCGCACAGCTTAGAGGGAACAGTGGTGTGGGACAGAGGGCAGCAAACCCAGCTCCCGCATTGGTGGTGTGTGGGAGGGTGCTGCCAGCGGGTGGATTCACGCATACATCCACTGCCCCCCATGAGCCCCATTATCGGGCCCCACAGGAAAGCTGAGAGCTACCATTTTTACTGGGCCTGCAAAACCAGCAGGCAGGGCCTAGCACCAGCCGCCATCTTGGCCCGGTGGTCACCATCTTGCGTCCAGGCCTAGCTGATCCAGGGCCAGCGGCAGTGGGGGAAGCCACTCAGAAATCCAACATCCACTGGCTCCTCCCTCCACTAGTCTCTGTAGGAAGCTGATTGGGCCATCAGCCATTTTGTGCCCCTTTTAGTGGCCATTTTGTATCCATCTTGGCAGCCCTGGGCTAAGCAAACCGGCTGATTTCACCAAGTGAATGGGATCATCAGCCATTCTGAACCCATCTCAACATCCCAGGGATAAGCCTGACTTCTTCCCTAGCCAATGGGATTCATCGCCAGGCCCAACCAAAGAAGTAAGCTTGGCCATTGGCCATCTTGAACCCAACTCAATGGCCATTTTGAACCCATTTTCAATAGCCGTTAGTGTATCCAACATCATGACTTCTCCCCTATCCAGTGCAAATCCATCCTCAGGTCCAATGGAGGAAGTCAACAGGGCCGTCAACCGTTTTGAACCCCCCTCGTCAGCCATTCTGAACCCATGCCCTGATTCCTAACCCCAGCCAATAGCCACTCATCCTTGCCTCTAGGAGCAAAAGTCAATTGGGGAGACAGCCATTTTGAACCCAGTTTGTTAGCCATCTTGAACCCCCTTCCCCTAGCCGATGGCCACTCATCTCCACCTCCAGCAGCACAAGTCAGCTGGCCTATTGGCCATTTTGAGACAGTTGGCTAAGCCGGACCAACCCCCTCCCACAACAGGGATGGCCCTAGGCGTCTGTCCCCCAATGGCTTGATGTGTGTTGGGGAGGAAGAGTCACACGTGTGTCTGCATGCGCTGCTGGGCAGGCCGCCCGTAGTCCGACTGTTGCGAGAGGGAGGTATAGGAGAAGCGGGAGCCGCCCGACACCTTGCTGGCCTGGTCTGACTGTTCATAGCCACTCTCTGCCTTCTCGTAGGTGCTGGGCTTGACGTAGCTGGTGAAGGCCCGGGTGTAGGGGGCTGTGAGGTAGCCCCCCCCCGTACACCCCATCCCGCGGGTAGTGGGGCTCGTAGGCTGTGCGGGAGCCGGGTGCCCCCAGAGTATAGCGGTGGCTGTAGGGCTGCCCTGAGGGGGGGAACATGGTGGCGTGGGACCCGGTGTAGAGGGTGCGCGGGGCTGGGGCATACTCCAAGAAACTGCCAGACAGGTGGGGTTCCTCATGAGCACGGACCTTGTAGTAACCGTTGGTAGGGTCCTGGGTGGGGGGAGTAGGAGAGAGACATCAATGAGCCAGAGGGGGGGAGGGGAGAGTGGGGGGCTGCCCCTCAGAGTGGGGGAACTGCCCCAACTCCGACCGACACAGTGACGCTGCCTGAGTCTGCAGCGAGCCTGTGCCCCTTGCTGTTGGGGAGAGAGGAGCTGCTGTGTGCATCCCAATGAGGTGTGAATTCCCAGCCCGCCTAGCCGGGGGGGACCCCCAGCCCCATGCCAGCAGGGCACTCTATGTGGGGCAGGAGGGGGCCAGGGAAAGTGCAGGAGGGCCACTGTGCCTTTAAGAGAGGGGGAGGAGATACCATAGCATTGCCTCTTGGGGGAAAGGGGGTGGGGCCTGGGTCAGGGGCAGGGCCGCCAACCTTATTGTCCTGGCTGTCCTCTTCCTCCTCCAGGATCTCGCTGTGCTCTGTGTGCGAGGTGGCTGGGGACTCGCTGCTCGTGGCCTGTGGGGGTGGGGGGGGAGGGGCTGAGTCTCAGGGTAGGGGTATCCAGCCTTATCACCCCCCCGTCCCCCGCAGCCAGATCCCAGGGCTTCCCCCCGACAGGAACCAACTGAATCTGGATGCGTTGCCCAGCATGGCATTGTGGGGCGCCGGGCCGCAGGGAGCGGAGTGAGGGGCTCTGTAGGGGACGCTGTGCCATGCGAGCAGGAGGTTCGTCAGGGGGCCATGCCACGGGGCAGGGGCACAGTAGAGGGCACAGTACTGTGGGGACCATGGGGCTCCGTACAGGGCGCCGTGCTGCGGGGGCTCAGTAGGGGGCGCAGTGCCATGATGAGGGGGCTCAGTACAGGACACCATGCCATGCTCACCATGGGCTCCTTGACGTCCTCCTCTGTATCGCTGGGCCGGCTGGGGCTGCTGTCACTCGTGGTGATCTGCACCAGGACATCTGTCTTGGACAGCTTGGTGCCTCGTTTGGCTGCTGGACACAGACAGACCCAGGGGTGTGAACCTCTCTTGGGTCCCCAGCTCCCCTATGGGCCCCACCCACCACTGGCTCGAGGGGGGGAATTTGTGTGCCCCATTGGTGTGGTCCCCCCTCCCACCTCTGGGGCAGGGCAGCCGGGGAACAGCTGTATATAACACCGCACAGGGATGACTCCCCTGGTGCTAAGATGCAGCCACCTCTGGGGCGGGGCAGCTGGGGAACACCCCCACATAATGCTGCATGGGAACAGCTTGCCCAGCACTGAGATGCAGAAACTGCCACTGGAACTGAAGGAGTCACTCCATCGGTGGGTAGCACTAGAGGGCTGTTATCCTGCACCAGACACAGGAGGGAGAGGCTACACTTGGCCAGCGAGCTGTCCAGATCCAGTCACACACGTGTTAAAAGAGACATGCACCGGGGTTACCACATCAGTGCAGACGTGTCTGAGACACGTCATGGCTCCAGGTGCCCATGGGAATGACTCGTATGTTCATGTATTGGGGGCCTAGGCACATGTTAAAGGGGCTGCCCACATATGTAAGGGTATGTTTGTGTGACCTTTACATGGGACACATGTTTCATGCCTGTACAGATGTTCTCGGGAGCATGAAGCCTGTCCATGACACCACAAGACTGCTAACACCAACTCGCGTGGGTGCTTGTATCTAAACCAGCATGTCCATGTGTGTCCTCATGTGTCCCTATGCACAGAAGCACAGGTCTGTGTGGTACCATGTCGAGGTGTGTGTGGACCCACGTATTAGCCCAGGCCTGTTAACATCTGTTAGAAGTGTGTCTGCATGTGAAGGAGGAAAGGCCCATGTCAGCCTTTTGGGTGATCACATCTGTAAATGGGGAGGGGCGGAGCTAGCCAGTGACCTCACCTTTCCCGGGGCACCAGCGCAGGCAGCAGACAGACACGCCAACGGCCAAGACCAGCAGCAGGGTGGCAGCGGCTGCGGCTGAGGCCCCGATTATCATGATGGGCAGGACCTCTGTAAGGGAAAGAGCAGGTGAGAGCAGGCCCCTGCTGCTAAAGCACAAGGACAGCTCGCCCAATACTGAGATGCAGCCACCTCTGGGGAGTGGGGTTAACAGGAGAAAAGCTGCACATAACACCTCACAGGAATGACTCACCTAGCACTGAAATGCAGCCACCTCTGGGGCTGGGGAGCCAAGGAGCAGCAGCACATAATGCCTCATGGGGACAGTTCATCCAGTGATGCAGCCACCTCTGGAGTGGGGCATCTGGGTAAACTGTAGCCGGTTTGGTGTGGGAGGGTGGAGCAATTGGGTCAGGGGTTGGAACCCATGGGACCCACCCTGTCAGCATGGGGCTAAGTGGTGCCAGTCTGTGCAGCTGTTGCAGGGTTGCGTGTGGGCAGGGCCGGCTGGGCTATGGGCCAGGGGGCGGGGCTTACCCTGCCGGTGCAGTGTGACAGCCGCCGAGCGGGCCCCAAAGCGGTTCCAGGCCGTGCAGTTGTAGGGCAAGGCAAAGTCCTCCGTGCGCGTGGGCTGGATAAGCAGGGCCGAGAGCACCCCCCGCTCCGTAAGCGCCGTGTCCACTGTGAAGCGCTCCTCTGAGCCGCTGTCCAGCACCTGCTCGCCCCACGCCCACACCTGCCACGAGACCAAGACACAGGCCCTGTCAGCAGGGGGCAGGTTGGGAGGGGTCAGTGGGGGATGGGCGGGGGACCGCAGCACTCACAATGCGATTTGCGGCAGGTTGGGGAGTTCAGGGGGTCAGTCAGGGGGCAGATGGGGGGGCAGTACTAATGATACGGTCGGGGCAGATTGGAGGGCCTGGGGCCATCAGCACTCAGAATGCATTTGGGGGCAGGTTGGGGAGCTGGGGGTGAGTTGGGGGGCAGGCAGAGGGCAGCACTGAATGCAGTCGAGGGCAGGTTGGTGGGCTGGGGGGGGTCAGCAGTCATGATGCATTCGGGGGCAGGTTGGGGATCTGGGGGGTCAGTGAGGGCAGGGGACAGTACTCACAATGCGGTCAGGGGGGGGCGTGCTCCTCACTAGACACTCCAACCGTGCCTTGTCCCCGAGCGCTGTCTGTGGCCCAGACTCAGTGGTGATGATGGGGGGCCCTGCAATGGGGGAAGGTAGAATTAGGGGGAGCAGCACCTACTCATACCCCTCCCCCAGGACAGAGACCCCCCCCTCCCCAGACACCTTCCCCACACCCTACGAGAAACCCCATGGGGATGGGCCACCTGAGGCTCCACCCATGGAATGCTCAACCCGCAAGGTAATGTTCCGCTCAGGCAATGCCCCCTAGGATGCCCCGCCCCCAGGGAATGCCCAGTTCCCAGGCAAATCCCCCTAGGATGCCCCGCCCCCAGGGAATACCCTCCCCCCCCAAGCAATGCCCACCCCCAGGCAATGCCCCCTAGGATGCCCCACCCCCAGGCAATGCCCCACCCCTGCCCTCACCGTTGACCGCCAGCGTCACCTCCTTGTCAGCCATGCCGATGCGTGGCACGATGGCCTTGCACACGTATGTGCCAGCGTCCTCCTGTGTCACAGCCTTTAGGTGCAGGGTGTTGCCATTGCTCAGCACCTGCAGCCACATGGCAGGGGTTAGAGCGGGGGGCCAAGATGCCTGGGTTCCAGCCCTGGCTGTGGGAGGGGAGTGGCTTCTAGTGGTTAGAGCAGTGGAGCTCGGAGCCAGGACTCCTGGGTTCAAACCCTGGCTCTGGAAGCGGAGGGGGTCTGGTGGTTAGAGCAGTGGGGCTGGGAGCCAGGACTCCTAGGTTCAATCCCTGGCCCTGGGAGGGGAGTGGATTCTAGCAGTTGGAGGCAGGAGCCAGGACTGCACCACGCAGGTCACTCACCACGCTGGATCCCTTCTTGGTCCAGGCCAGGGTGAGGGGCGGGTTCCCGGTCCAGGTGCAGGTGAAGGAGGCGTCAGCCCCGACATCCACGGTGAGGGGCTTGGGCTGGGAGACCAGGTGGGGCCCAACTGCAGGGGGAGGATCCAGTGAGTGCAGGGGTGGGGCTCTGGGGAGCTGGGGCATCTTCCCCACACTGCCAGCCCCACCCCCTATGGCTCCCTGCCAATACTGTACCCCTCTCCCGTACTTGCCCCCCTTCTATTGTCCTCCCACCGCCCAGTGCCCAGCCCCTGAAGCAACCACAGCCCGGCTCCCCAAGTGTGCCCTTCCCTCCATCCCCAGCCTGCTCCTCTCCTCTCCCCCACCCCCTGCACGGACAGCACCCAACACCCTTCCCCCCACACCCAACCCAAATCCTGTCCCCCAGCACCTATCCGCCACCTCCCCTGCAACCCCCCAGCGCCCATCCCCCCAAGTCACAGCCCCATCCCCCACTCGCAGTGCACATCCCCCCACTCCCACTCACAGCGCCCCTCCACCCCCTCACAGCGCCCCCCCCAACTCACAGTGCACATCCACCAGGGTACTGACGTTGGTGCTGCCCACGGCGTTGGCCACCTCGCAGGACACGGGCTGGGTGAAGAAGGAGTGATCCACCCTGGCCTCATAGCTGTGCCCGTTGGCCTCGGCGATGGCCACGCCGCCCTTTGCCCACCTGCCCCACAGCCGGTGTGTGGTCGGGGGGAGACGCAGAATTAGGGGGAGCCATCAGCTGGGGGCAGTACCGCCTGTTACCACCAGGGGGCCCAGATTCCCCTCTGCTCCCGGCAGGCAAGGCAGCGAGAGCCGGTGGGAGGGGACCTGCACGTCCCCACTGCAGCCACCAGAGGGCAGTGCAGCCCCGCCCCCACCCCTGGCTGGGCCCCCGGGGCCGCCCAGGGCGCCCGGTCGCCGGGGTCAGCCAGCGGCTCTTACCGGTAGCCGGTCACCTCGGGGTTGGCAGTGGCGGTGCAGAGGAAGCTGACCTTGGCCCCCTCCGCGACGGTCTGCGGCTGGACGGAGAGGATCACCGTGGGGGGGTCTGGAGGGGGGGAAGGGGAAGACGGTCAGAGACATGCGACCAGCTCTGGGGTGGGGCTCACCTGCCCCCCGCCAAGTCCCCTCCCTGCCCCTCACAGCACAGTGCACCCTGCTTGGCCCCCCACCCCCTACAGCACGGTGCCCCCCACCAGACCCTCGCCTGCTCCCCACAGCACAGTGCCCTCGTTGAGCCTCCTGCCAGCCCCCGCAGCACAGTACCCCACACTGAGCCCCTTGCCTGGCCCCCCACAACATGGTGTCCCTGCCAGCTCCCCCGCAGCACGGTGCCCCATGCCAAGACCTGGCCCTGCCCCCCCACAGCGCAACACCCCCTCCCCCCAAGTCAGGACTCACACAGCACGTCGAGGGTGATGGAGGTCTGCTTGCCGGCAGGCGCGGCCGGGTTGGTGACGTGGCAGGTGTAGGCACTGCCCATGTCTTGGGTGCTGGGTGTGAGGAGCAGGGTGCTGAGGGCCGTTGCCCGCTTCCCATCCTCCATCAGGGCCTGTGGGGGCAGAGGTCAGGCCTCAGCTTGGGGCCCACTAGACCCATCTCCCAATGGGTCCGGGGGCTGGAGGGAGAATCACCCACCCCCCACTGGGCTGTCCTTTCATGCCATATCCCACCTCCCCTTTAATATCCTTCCCCCTGCCCCCCGACTGCCCCTTTAATAGCCTGTTTCCCACTGCACACCTGGACTGCCCCTTTAATTCCTTGCACCCCATACACCTCTGCCCCTTTAATACCCTGCCCCCACACCCCAAGCTGCCCCTTTAATAACTTGCCCGCACACATACCCTGTGTCTTCCCTTTAATGCCCTGCCCCTTGGCCCCTCACCTTGGCATAGAGGGCAGAGCCTTGCAGCTGCCCATCGCGGTACCAGCTGATCTCAGGGGCAGGCTTGGCGCCAGACACCTGGCAGGTCAGATTGTAGGGCACGCTGGCCTGGACCCGGACGATAGGGCCGTTCTGGATCACGGGGTCATTGGGCGGTACTGGGGGGGCAGATGGGAGACAGGGGGTCAGCGATGGGGTGGGAGTCCCCAGGGCGGTGCCCCAGCTGTGGGGAGAGAGGGCTCCAGTATTGTGAGCGTCCCCAGGGCGGTGCCCCAGCTGGGCAGGAGGGGACACTCACGGAGCACCGTGAGCTGGGCACGCTGGGAACGCAGTGCCGCCTGCGTAGCTTGGCACTCGTACATGGCGTCATCGCCCAGCTCAGCGGACTCGATCCTCAGGTTGTGCTGCCCGGCCGCTGGATCCCCGACGATGGAGTACCGGGCCCAGCCTGCGGGAGAGAGGGACAGACTGCAGGGATTGGCACAGCGCCCCCCAGGGACCCCTTGTCTCCCCCCCTGCAGCATCATGTCCCCAGGAATCCCCAGTCCCCCTCACAGCACAGCACCCCACAGGGGGACCGAGTCCCCCACTGCAGCACAGCACCCCTCTAGGAACCCCCAGTCCCGCCTCACAGCACAGCTCCCCTGGGCACCCCCAGTCCCCTCTCCTGCAGCACGGCGCTCCCCAGGGAGCCCCAGTTCCTCCCCCCCGCATCATGGCACCCTATGGGGGTCTCTTGGTCCCTTCCCCCCTGCAGAACAGTGCCCTCTGGGGACCCCCACTCTCCTCCCCTGCAGCACGGCACCCTGTGGTCCCTCCCAGCACAACGCCCCCTGCTGACCCTCCCCCTGCAGCCGTGTACATACCAGGCAGGTCTCGCTCTCCACCCAGTGCCAGGCCATCCTTGGTCCACTGCACCATACCCTGGTAGCCCACAACCACGCAAGCCAGCGTCACCGATTGCCCCGCCACGATCACCTGGTCCATGGGCTGCTGAAAGAAATACACCCCCCAGCCTGGTGGGAGGGGGGGGGAAGCATTACCCACCCAGGTCACCAGATGGGGGCCCAGGGATTATGGAGGGGCCTGGGAGCCAGGACTCCTGGGTTCAATCTCAGCTTGGGGAGGGGAGTGGAGGGGAATTCATGAGGGAAGGCTCCCAACAGGAGCACAAGGTGGGGGCAGATTGGATGGGGAAGAGGGGCAACATGGGGAGCGCAGGCTGGGGGGGATGGGAGATCCTGTCAGCAGGGGAGGTGTGGGTAGCACAGTTTGGGGGGGTGGGGGATCCCGGCAGTGGGGGGAGGGGGGCATGGGGACTGCAGGCTGGGGGGGATGGGAGATCCTGTCAGTGGGGGTTTGGGGGGAATGGAGGCTGGGGGGGATGGGGGATCCAGGCAGCAGGTGACGGGGGGCATGGAGAGTGCATGATGGAGTTGGGTGGAGGATCCCAGCAGCAGGGGAGGGGGGCATGAGTAGCACAGTTGGGGGGAATGGGGGATCCTGTCAGCAGGGGAGGGGGCATGGGGAACAGAGGCTGGGGGTGAGGGGGGATCCCATCAGCAGGGGAGGGGGTCGTGGGGAGCGCAGGATGGGGGGATGGGTGATCCTGGCAGCAGGGGAGGGGGTGTGGGGAGCGCAGGCCGGGAGGGATGGGGGATCTAGGCAGCAGGGGAGGGAGCGTGGGGAACAGAGACTGGGGGGGATGGGGGATCCCAGCAGCTGGAGAGGGGGGCATGGGGAGTGCATGATGGAGGTGGGTGGAGGATCCCAGCAGCAGGGGAGGGGGGCATGAGTAGCACAGTTGGGGGGAATGGGGGATCCTGTCAGCAGGGGAGGGGGGCATGGGGGTTTCAAGCAGCGGGGAGGAGGGAGCTGGGGAGGGATAGCTCAGTGAAGGGGGTGAGGCAGGGAGACAGAAGGGGCAGGCAGAGAGGGGTGCATGGAAGGGCAGCTGCTGTGGCTGCCGGCGGGGCAGGAAATGGGGTCTGGGACCTTTCCCCTGTAGTGGGTGCCAGCTGTGATCTGGACCCAGGGCAGGGGCCTGGCTGGCTGCGGGGGGGCTGGTCCACCTGGACTGCCCCCCCCCGAGAATTCCATAGGGGAGAGAGGGGGTTATGGGGTCTCTGCCAACCTCCCTGCCCTGGGCACCTTAAACAGGGTTGTAAGGGCATTGTGGTACCAATCCCCACGGAGCTGGCCCAGCCTTTCTGTAGGGCTGGAAGGCTGGTTGGGGGGGGTGTAGGTGTTAGGGCCCAAATGATGCTAGGGCTGGGAACAGGAGTCAGAGACCCCCGCAATGTACTCAGGGCTATCTGCCCCCCACAAGGTGGGGTAGATTGGATGGTGAAGTGCCCCTCTCCCCTGGGCCCCCCAGCTCCACCCCCCACAGACACACTCTCCCCCAGGGTCCCCCCAGCCCTTCCCCAGGGACTGTTCCCTAGCCCAACCCCACAGATACCCACTCCCCCAGCAACCCCGAACTGTCCACCCCATCCCACTATAGATACCAGGGTTGTCCTTAGGATTGATGGGGCCCTATGCAGTATTATTAAACTGGTGCCCCTATGCCCAACTTGGGACACAGCCACCACCCCCACTCACAGACCCCCAGAAGAAACACCTCCCCCACCAATTGCTGACACACACCGAGCTTCCTACACAGCTGTGGCAGCCTGGGCCCCCCTCAGGGCAGCGGAGTCACAGTTCCCTGCCCCGTACCCTCTCCCTCGTGCAGCATGCGCCGTGCTGGTGCATTCGGCTCTGTGAATATGGCCCCTGCCTAAGGAGACTGCAGCCCGTGCTGGGTGTGCGGGAGCCAACCTGCTTTTACCTGCTGTGCAGGTGATGCCCCAAATTTTCGGGTGCCCTACGCAGCCGCATGTGCCTAAGGACAGCCCTGATAGATACACCTTCCCCCCACCCAATTCTGCCCCCCAGTTGCCCTGTGGACTCTTCCCCACTGCCCCATTCCCCCTAGGCCTTGCCCGAGACACCCGCACCAGCCTTCTGTGCCCCAGCCCCGGTACCCCTGGGACAGGAACTGCTCCATTTCTTCGGGAAAGGAGCCCAGAGGCTGAAGGGTGAAAGATCCTTTCTGCGTCGCTGAGATTCCTTGGCTCTGATCTCCTGGCTAAACCCTTCTTAATTCCAATCCAATAACACCGCCCTTTGTCCCGATTGTTTCCAAGTTTACCCAATAAACCAGGATCTGAATAAGGGGATAATCCTCTGAGGAGGGTCAGGAGGGGCTGGGGGTGGGATGGCAGAGCTGGAGGGAGGAGAGAACAAAGCAGAGGGAGATGCACATATGCCAGGCTTTCTGTAGCACAGAGGATCCAGGAGTCCCAGCTCTAACCCATTACACCCCACTGCCCGGGCCAGAACCCAGAAGTCCTGGCTCTCAGCCCCCGCTGCTCCAACCCACTAGACACCACTCCCTCCCGCAGAGCCAGGGATAGAACCCAGGTGTCCGGGCGCACAGCTGGTTTCCAGGAGCAGGCAGGGAAGAATGATGGGGAAGAGTGATGGAGTCATGACCCTCCACAGAATTAGGAGGGGGGATGATGTCCTGGTTAATTTCCAGCCCCCCTTCTTAATTTCACCCTTTGACTTGTTTTGGCTTCACTGATACTGAATCCTCTCCCTCCCCCCCCACCCCCACTAATTAGATTGTGGCTCTGAAATTTTAGGGAGAGTTAATGGGATTTCTGGGGTGGGGGGGAGATGCATGAGGGATTCCCCCCATGCACAGTGTCAGGTGACGGACACCAGCCACGGAGCAGGGAAAGATGGGCACTACATTCTCACCCACTTGCAATGCCCAGCGGGTTGGGGGGCTGGGCTGGTAGTGTGTTGGTGATCGGGGGAAGACAGAGGGGGTTATGTATGCACACACACAGATGTGACACACACACACACGGAGACACACACACAGCTGTGACAGATACATGCACACACATAGGGCTCGACACACACACACAGAGCTGAGACAGACACACAGATCTGCATACACAGGGCTCTCTCTCTCTCTCACACACACACACAGGGCTCTGATACCCATACACACACTGCTCACTGACACACCTAGCTTTGGCTTGATACACAAACACACCTCTCTCCTCTGTAGCCAGTGACACTGACCCCCTCCCCATCACACGCTGACTAAGACACACTCCGTGACATTGCCAGATTTACAGAAACACAAGGGATCATGCACACCCTGACCCACATTCACCCCTCCTGACACCCCCACACAGGCTCACCCCTTCCCCCGCACGGCATGGACACAGCCACGCACAGACTCACACTGGTGCTGGGGTCACACACACACACTCTAGGGATGACCCGGACTCACCCCCAGGCTCCCGAGAACATTCACACCCTGTGGCGCAGATCCACGGCAACAGCCACAGCGCTTCAGGCTGATGCCCACAGCCTGGCACACCCGCCCACCAGCGCTCAGCTCACCGGGCTAGCCCCGTGCCCCCACTCCCGGCCTGTGGAGAGCAGATACATCATGGCACTTCATGGAGCCCCCCATGGGGGGGAAGACCCCTGCTACAGCACCCCGCTCTTCTACCAGAGCTGGGGAGAGAACCCAGGAGTCCTGGCTCCCAGCCCCCCCCGCTCTAACCACCAGACCCCACTCCTCTCCCAGAGACAGGGATAGAACCCAGGAGTCCTCACTAGAACCCACTCTTGACCCACAGCTGAAAATAGGGGGAATGATTCCCAGGAGTTAGAGCAAGAGGGGGGCTGGGAGTCAGGACACCTGGGTTCTGTCCTGGCTTGGGGATGGGAGGATGTCTAGTGCTTAGAGCCAGGGGGGAAGGGGAGGGCTGAGAGTCAGGATGCCTGGGTTCTCTCGCCATCCCTCCTTCCCCACTTGTCAGTTCTCCCACCCCCTGCACTCAGAGATACTCAGCTGCATTTCCACACTCAGCAGCAAATCCCATTGGAAGCTGCACAGAGGCCTCAGATTCCTGCCCCCTAATAGGCGTGAAATCTCGGCCCATTGTGTGCCTGGCTCTGGGGAGGCAGCGCAGTTCCAGCAAATAGCTCTGTGCAGAATGTGGGACCCTGCTGATCCCAGCCTGGCCGGGCCCCCTGCCCCCCAGTAACCCCCACCCTACACAGAAGGGGGGACAGAATGGGGGAAAGGGCCAGCAGAAAACGCTGAGCCTCCCAGGATGGAAATAGCCAGAGGCAGGGTGGGTGAGTGGTTAGAGCACGGGACAGCGAGTCAGGAATCACAGACTCCACCACGTGAGCTCAGGGGGCTGGGAGCCAGGACTCCTGGGTTCTCTCTCTGGCTCTGCCCCATACTGCTGCCCAGGTGATCTTGGACAAGTCCTGTTGCTTCTCTATGCCTCAGTTTCCCCCATCTACATAAAGGGGATAATGAGAGTGACAGACAGAGGGGGCAGCTCCAGGAGGCTGTCCAATTCCCCACCCGCCTGAGCCACCCATTAGCTCCAGGGCCAGTATCTTTTCTGTCGTGGGACAGGGAGGGGTGGATGAGGTGTGCAAGGGCAGTGGAGGGCCAGGCAAACCAAGGCCAGGCTGTGGGGGCCTGTGGGGTCAATGTAGGGCCCACACAAAGCCAGTGTTGTTGTGCTGGGAGTGGCAGTGGGAGGGTGCGGGGCAGGGAGGAAAGCAGGGGGCCCCACCCTGGGACAGGCAGCTTGTGAGAGTGGGAGCTGCCAGGACCCACAATGGACCCCTTTGTGCCAGGGCTCATTCAGCGCCCATCCCCCCTCCTCCATGCAGCCACCCCAATGCCTGCTGTCTTGGCAGCCCAGAGCAGGGCTGGCCACTCTCCCTCTTGCCAGCCTGGCCCTCTGGCCCCACAGCCTGCGCCCACTCTCCACCGGCCTGCACCCCCCACCTCCGCCAGCCTGGCCCCCCACCTCCGCCAGCCTGGCATCTCCACCGGCCTGGCCCCCCACTTCCTGTGACCCCCCAGTCCCCCAGCCAGCAACCCTCCACCTATGCTGGCCTGGCTCCCCATGGTCTGCACCTCCCCACCTCCGCCAGCCTGATCCCTCAACCCCCCAGCCTGCGCCCCCCCCTACATCTGCTGGCCTGGCTCCCCATGGCCTGGGCCCCCGCTCCACCTCTGCTGACCTGGCCCCCGCCTCCATCCTCCCAACTGCCCAAAACACAGCCCAGCATTGCCACCACCACAGCACAGCACAGCCCACTGGCTAAAGGGGGGCAGCAGGAGAGAGAGAGAAAGTGGGGGGAGCACAGGGCGGGATATAGGGAAAGATAAATGGATGGGTGTTCGTGTGTATGCAGATGGATGGATAGACAAACAAACCCTGCACCTTCTCTCTCCACTGCCTCTCCCCCTTTTACTGTGTGTGTGTGGGGGAGTCTTGCAGCTGCACAGGGCCACCCCACTGGCATGAAAAAACCCCGCCGGGCGCCCCATGGCAGCAGGTGGGGGGCACATGCCCCACCTGCCCCCCAGCCAGCCTGGCAATGAGCAGAACACCCCCTGGCAGGTTTGCCAGCACCGGCTGGCACCAGCTCGGCCCCCAGAAATTAGGTCACTTCCAAACAGCCAACAGATGTTAATTTTGTGTGTGTGTCTGCAAAGCCGGCCCCTCCCCCATGCCCAGAGGAAAGGCAACCCCCCAGACAGGGATTAGAACCCAGGAGTCCTGGCTCCCAGCCACCCCACCCCTCCCCTCCTAGAGCTGGGGAAAGAACCCAAGAGTCCTGGCTCCCAGCCCCACTGCTGTAACCTACTAGACCGACTGCTTTCCGAGGATGGAACCCAGGCGTCCTGATCCTTACAGGAAGTATCACCAGAGAGTGGGTTAGTTACTGAGCCCGCCAGGCCAGACCATCAGGGCCTCTGGGTTTGACATCCTGGGCAGCAGGGAAGCAGGGAGCAGCAGGTACCAGGGTCCGTGGGTCTGATCTGGGGCAGGGGCAGATATGGGGCTGGATGGGCCATGGAGAGCTGCTACAGAACAGTTACAGTCCCCTCTCCTGACCCCTCCCACCAACCCATCTCAAGCAGCCTTGGAAACCCCCCCACAAGCACCCTCCCGATTTCCCCCACAAGCACCTAGGGCCCTATCCCTCCCCCATCAGACCCTGATCCCCCCATCCCCATAACCCCCCCAATTTCCCCCACAAGCACCCGCACCCCCATCCCTCCCCTGTCAGACCCCAATGCCCTCCAGCCCCATAACCCCCCTGATTTCCCCCACTAGAACCTGTGCCCCCATCCCTCCCCATCAGACCCTGATCCCTCCATCCCTGTAATCCCCTGATTTCCCCCACCAGCACCTGAGCCCCCATCCCTCCCCTGTTAGACCCTGATGCCCCCCAGCCCCATAACCCCCTGATTTCCCCCACAAGCACCTGTGCCCCATCTCTCCCCTCTCAGACCCCAATGCCCCCCGAGTCCCATAACCCCCCCCCCGATTTCCCCCACAAGCACCTGGGCCCCCATCCCTCCCCTGTCAGACCCCAAACCCACTCCTCTAGGCCCCCACCCAGCCCCTCTGAGCAGAGTGGATGGAAAACGATGCCCTAAGGCAAAGACACTCCCTACTGCATCCACCCCCCCAACCCCCCCCCGCACACACACCCAGACACCCTGCTCCGAACCTCTCAGGATTCATTAGTGTTTCTGTAAAGGGAATTCATAGCTGGGGGGCCCAGCGGCCTGACCAGGCGTGTAAGTGTAAGCTCAGCTCAGCTCCCCTGACACCTCCAGAAACCCCACCCCCCGCCACACAGACACACCTTGGGGGAGACTAGCACCCAGCCGTGCCTGGGCACCCCCGCACCTGCCCCAGGACAGGTCTGCTCCTTTTTCTGTCAGTGCAGGAGGAAAGGCACATTGGGACACTGACAGACACATTGGAACAGGCGGGGGCGGGGGGAAATGGAGTTGAGATTTTGCTCTCCCCCATCCCTCTCTGTATCCCTGCCAGAGCGTAGGATGGCTCACAATGCTCTGGGCCTCCAGAAGGGGAAATTGAGGCAGATTTAGCAATGGAACCCAGAAGTCCTGGCTCTCAGCCCTTCCCCTCCAACCACTGGTCCCCACTGCCCTCCCAGAGCTGGGACAGAACCCAGAAATCACCTCCCCTGGAAGTCTGTAGGGGATGATGCCGGAAATTGCAGACTCGCAGGACTCATCTAGTTCTTTCCCTGGAGCGCCCCATGGGATGGAGGAGAGGCTGGGGGACAGTTCCCCACTGCCTGCTCCCCTTCTCCCCCCCATGGGGGCTATACCACAGCACCCCACTATGGGTGCTCATTGGGGCTCCTTCCCAGTAAGATCCTGAAGGGGCTTAGTGCATTTACTTAGTGCACTCCCCCCACACACACACACGCTCACACACCCAGACACATACGTATCCCCCCCAACACACAGTTTGGCACCATCATCCTGAATGGCAAAGGCCAGAGGAGTTTGCTCAAGGTCAGGATGCCAGTAGTAGAGGTGAGGAGAGAACCCAGAAGTCCTGGCTCCCAGCCCCCCTCCCTCCCCCCCCCCATAATCCATTGCATCCCACTCCCCTCCCAGAGCCAGGGAAAGAACTCAGGAGTCCTGGCTCCCAGCCCCCCACTGTAGCCAGTGGTGTGTTTGCAGAGTCCTGGGAAGAAAGGCTAAGAAGACCCCTCCAAAACCAGCCATTGCTCAGCCCACTTCGGGGATAGTGAGGGATAGGCCCAGGAGGACTCAACTGATCCCCACCCCACAAGCCCAGATCCCCACCCCCCAGCTCCTACCTATGTGAGCGAGGCAGCTCAGGGCCAGGATGCAGGGGAGCAGGGCTGACATCTCCATGCTGGGTTGGGGAGCCCCTTGGGGATCCAGCTCCAGGTTCCGGTCCGCTGCTGGCACTGGGACAGGGATCGATAAATCCACACTGCAGCTCTGCTCTGGATTCCTCTACACGCACCAGGGGAGGGTGGTGGTCAGGACTCCTGAGTTCTATCCCAACTCAGGGAGGTCTAGTGGTTAGAGTGTGCAGAAGCTGGGAGCCAGGACTCCTGGGTTCTATCTCGAGCTCTGGGAGAGGACGGGGGTCTAGTCGTTGGGGGAGCTGGGAGCCAGGACTCCTAGGTTCTATTCCCAGCTCTGGGAGGGGAGGGGATTGGGGTCCAGTGGTTAGAGCGGGGGCTGGGAGTCAGGACTCCTGGGTTCTATCCCTTGCTCTGGGAGGGGGGACTAGTAGTTGAGGGGGCTGGGAGCTAGGACTCCTGGGTTCTCTCTCGATCCCGAGGACCCACTCTGCACAGCCAGGCTGATGATGCTCTGGAGTCCTTCAGCTCTGGGGATAGCGACTCATTGAGGCCGGCAGCAGGAAGGCCCCGCCCAGGGTAGGCGCTGATTGGTGGAGCAGGCGCTCTCATTAATAAAAAAGATCACACACACGGGGACTGGGTCATCTGCAGCTGAGTGGCGGGGTGGGGTGAGCCCCTCATCCCAGACAGAGGGTGCTCCCCACGGCATGAGAAGGGCATTAGGGGATATGGGGTGTGTGTAGGTAGGTAGGTAGGTGTGTTACACAACACAATGCACACATGCATGGATCAAGCCAGCTCACAAGAACAGTAAAGGGGAAAGTGGGCACACAACACGTGCACCTCCACAACCCCAGCAGGGGTGTGACCCTGTGTGTGTGCAGTGAGGGTTGTGTTAGTGCAGCAGTGTTGCTGTGCATAGCGGGATGTGTGTGAGTTGCAGATTCATTATGTGTGCACATGCTGGGTGTCTGTGTGTCTCTGCGCTGTGCCCATGTGTTGCAGTAGGTGTGTGCACTGTGTGCTGTTTTTGTGTGCAGTGTGAGCACAACTGGAGCTGGTTGCTCCCCCACCCCTGGCAGGGAGGCCTAAGAATAGGGACTGGGAATCCCGGGGGACAGCCACTGCACAACAACCTGACGCAACCCCCGGCTTCCTGCCAGCTCCTCACCAGGCACAGCCTGCTTGGCTGGCTCCTCAGCCCCAGCCCCCAAATGCCCGGCCCAGCTGGCTCCCTCTCCCTGGCCTGCTCCCCCTCCTTGGTTCCACCGTCTTTCTCTGGTTGCCCCTGTTCTTTCTTGGTCTTTCCCAGCTGCTAGCCCTCATGCCACCTCTCTCTGCCTGGTAGCACCCACTGACAGAGCACATCCCCAGCTCTGTGACCCTGCCCCCTGGGAAGTCCTGCTCCCACAGGAGTGGAAATGCCATGGGGCTGGGAATTCCACCCCCATCTGTTCCCAATTATCTCTTGGGAGTTTGTGCAACAGGGGAAATGGGGGAAGCTGAGACCTCAGGGAGTTGACTCACCCCACACAGGGGGATAGAATCCAGACATCCTACGTTCCAGCCCCCCCCCAACTACTAGACCCCAGAACTCCTGACTGCCCCCTCCCAGAGCCGGAGATAGGACCCAGGCATCTTGGCTCCCAGCTCTAACCCACTAGCCCCCCACTCCACTCCCAGAGCTGGGGATAGAACCCAGGAGTCCGGGCTCCCAGACCCCCCTGCTCCCTGTGCAAGGCAATGCTGCAGACACATGCCTTCCCTGCCAGTCCCTTGGGTGATGTGGGTGAATGGGAAGCAGATTGTGCTGGGGTGTGTGTGGAGGGGGGGAGATTTAAGGGGATTTCTGCTGGTTTGTGTCTTCTTTGCTAGACAGATTTAAGGCCCCACCTCTGTTTCGGCGTGTTTGTGCAGTGCGTATAGTTCTGTCTGTTCATGTGTTTCGGTGTGTTTGTGCAATGTGTGTAGCTCTGCATGTACCACGCCCTAGTGTGTGCATTGGTGTTGCTGTATCTCTGGGGTCAGTGAGCAGGACTGTGTCTGGCTCTGGGTGTGTCCAGAGGACTGTGGCGGAGTGCTCTGAGTGGGGGTGTAGCTTGATGTACCCAGTGAGCCGCCGTTGGAATCCGTCCCAAGAGGATTTGGAAAGAATATTCTGAAGATTTGGGGATTAAACAGAAAAAAATTGGCATCTGTATGGAGTGGGGGAGGGGAAATCACTGGGGCTGGGGGCAGGGCCCAGCCACACCAGAGCTCCCAGGGCACTGGGAGGCAGGACTCCAACATACAATTCCCAGGTCCCTTGAGTCTAACCACTGCACCCCACTTCCCTCCCAGAGCTAGAGAGAGAAGCCAGGCGTCCCAGCTCTCCCTCTCCCCACTCCAGCCTTCCCCAAGCTGGGGATGGAACCCAGGAGTCCTGGCAACACAAACTCTTCCTAAGAGACCACCATAGGTCCCAATCCTTCACTGGTGCCATCGGCTCACAGTGCAGGGGTGGGGGGGACGGACTGTCCCCCCAACACCTGCCCCCCATCCCCCCAAATCTGAATAGTGAGCGGCCCATCAATTGCCGCGGGCGTCAGGAAAAGCTGTCGGGCTTCCCAGGCCCAGCAGGGCCCGTTGCCCCGGTAACGGGGCCTTGTGGGAACGGAGCCTGCTGCGGCCCTATTGAGGGCAGGCGATGGAGGAGGGGGACAAAGTCCCCAAGGGAGGAGTGTGAAAAAGCCAAGGGACCCCCTCCCCCCTCAGCCCCGGCAACATGTGGCTGCGCTCCCACCCAGATCCGCGTCCCGCAGCTGCCCGGCAGTCCCGCCAATCACCAGCCCCTGCCCAGAGCAGGGGGCTGGGAGCCAGGACTCCTGGGTTCTCTCCCTAGCTCTGGGAAAGGAGTGTGGTCCAGTGGGTTAGAGCAGAGGGGCTGGGAACCAGGACACATGGGTTCACTCTCTAGCTTTGGGAGGGAGATGGGATGCAGGTGTTAGAGTAAGGGGACTGGGGGCTAGGATGCCTGGGTTCTCTTTCTATTGCGGGGCGGGCATGGGGTCTGCTGGGTTAGAGCAGGGGAGGCTGGGAGCCAGGACTCCTGGGTTCTCACTCCAGGTCTGGGAGGGGAGCATGGTCTGGTGGGTTAGAACAGCAGGGCTGGGAGCAAGGACTCCTGGGTTCTATCTATGCCTTGATGTCTTTTGATTCTTAGGTGATGGTTCTTCCCACCACTTGGGAGGCTTCCTGTTTGTTGTGAGGCCCTGTAATGAGTCAGTGAGTTCTCACACCCCAGTTTGATTCATGACAAGGGCCCAGCTGATACTAAGCTGGGCCCCTGAGCAGGAAGGTAAGGGCTGAATGGAATAAGGGGAGAAAGCTCCTTCCCCACCCCAGAAGGTTTCCCTCGCCTTTGACCCTCTCTTGCCCAGCACTGAGATACTGCCACTTCTGGAGCGGGGCAGCTGGGGAACAACCGCACAGTGAGGGTTTGGGGCAGGAAGTGAAGAACAATCCCATGCCTAAGCACAACCCCAGTGCGTGCGTGTGTGTGTGAGTAGTGGGGGGGGGGGAGGGCATCAGCCTGGAGATTGGGGTTAACAGGCCACAGCGTCATATCCCTTTGGGAGCTTTTTTCCGAGCGCACGCCCGGGGGGACCTGCGGGATGAGATCATGGAAGAAAGTGGGGCAGAGCGCGGAGGGTAATTATCTCCAGCGGGAGGCCGGCTTCATGCCACGCACGGAGCCGAGGCTGTGGCCAGGGCACTGGGTCCAGGGGGAGCACAACCTGTGGAAAATAAACAGCGCCTGGCGATGGAGCTAATTAAAGCATCTTCCATGAGTCGCCTGGGGACAGCATGCCAGGGCTTCTCCGCACTGACTGTGGGTTGGATGGGAGACCCTTGGGGTAGCGGGGTGGGGGTGGTTAGTGGGTGGAGTGCAGGGAACAAGGGGGGCATTTATATGCCTGGGGGGGGGGGGGGGGGCTGGTGTCACAGCTTGTGGTTGATAGGAGATTGACCCCTAGCTGGAACCAGAGTGAACCCCTGTATACCCTGCCTCCCACTGCACCTCCACTATATCCTTCTTCCCCCTTCTACCCTCCACTGTGCCCCAATATAAACAGCCCCATTATATCCCCATGTACCCTGCCCCTCAATATACACAGCCCCATTATATCTCCATATACCTTGCCCCAAGTGTACCCCAATTCAATATACACAGGCCAATTATATCTCCCATGTACCTTGCTCCCACTCCCCCCCAATATACAGAGCCCCATATATCTCCATATAACCTGCCCCCACTGTGCTCCCCCCCACTGCAGCCCCAAGACTCCCTGCTCCCCCAGACTCACTGGGTACCCTGCCCCTCATCTCCTCCCCCCGCTCCCCCGCACCTCAGCTTGACCTGCCTGTGGCGCCCTGTTGCCATTCAGGGGCTGACAGTCGGTGATGGACGGTGTGGCGGCCATCTGCTCCCCATGTGGGGACGGGCTGGGAGTTGTCTGCCCTCGCCGTGGGCTGTGGAGGCCTCCAGATGGGACTAGGCCTCGGCGGCCATCATGGGCCTCCTGTCCGCAACGGGGACTGAACCTGCCCTGATTGTGGGGAGTCCTAACGTTTGCCCCACAGCGGGGCAACATGGATGCTGATGTGATCCCCACAGCCTCCTTCGACTCACAGGGGAAACTTGGGATCAGAGAAGGGATCCCAGGAGTCCTGGCTGTCAGCCTCCCCTTGCTCTAACCACCAGACCCCACTCCCTTCCCACAGCCAGGGGGGCAGAACCCAGGGGTCCTGGCTCCGAGCTCCCATAGGCAGATTGATGAGGGGCACATCCTGGGTGTCAGGGGGAGGAAGCCAGGGTGCTGGGCTTTGCAGCAGGCTTCCCCTCTGTTCTCCATGCCAGGCCCTGTCCCCTAACCCACCATTCCTCCTCCAGGAGTATCTCATGAGCTGCCCATTTCAGTTACGGTCCAATGTACCTGCCGCAGACAGTGGGCCGAGTGGGTTAGAGCAGGGAGGTCTGCGAATCAGGACTCCTGGGTTCTATCCCCAGCTCTGGGAGGGGACCTGGGTCTAGTGATTAGAACAGAGGAGCTGGGAGCCAGGACTCCTGAGGTCTGTTCTCAGCTGTAACCTTGTAGAACCCACTGCCTACGCTGTGCCTCAGTTTCCCCATCTGTGAATTTGTCACAGTCACCCAAAGCAGGATGGGGAATTCCAGCCTTGAGCAGAGGCTGGACAGCAGCTGTGAGCACAACACTGAGCTCCCCCTGCCATTAACCAAGCACCTCTTGTGTTGGAGTGGGGGGAGGACAGACTGCGATCAGCCCCAATCCCTTAGCACGTAGGTTGGGCTGCTGGGACTTTAATTTCTCACGAGCACTTCGCAGGACTCCAGAGCCCCCAGGGCTGCCCATCCCCACCTGGATATCTGCGCCTGGGACGGGGAGCAGGGAACTGCCCCTCACCCAACTAGCTATAGATGTGCTCCCTGTGTGGGGACGGGC